GCTCTGACTGATGCTATGTAGGAGACTCTTCAGGAGGGCTTCCTTCATTCTTCCCAAAAGATATGTCTTTATAAGATGAAAACTTTGGCCTCTTTTCTTTCTTCCTGCCTGTGATATGGACATGATGGATGCAGATTCAGCTACCTTCTTGTGATCGTGAGAACCAAGTCCACATGCGAAGGATAACAAGCCAGGAAAGTAGACCATCTGGGACACGAATGGCATCATGGAGTTGGCTACACCAGCCCTAAACAGATTACCCCAATTTCTTGTCATATTGGGACACCTCTCCCCTCACCCCCCATTAAATTGTGCTATCAGTTAAGAATTGTGTTCACCTGTAAGTAATAGAATACCTTACTTACAAGGGTTAAGAATGTGAGTCGTTTTATTCTCATTCAATGAGAAGTCAGGGAGTAGGAAAGTAAGGACTGGTAGGGTATCTCAGTTATGTTGTTAATGTTACTAGGCCTTGCTTCCTCTGACTTCATAACTTTTCCATTATAAATGTATTGATTTACTCTCCAGGATCACAAGATGATGGCTGTACCTCAAGGCATTTTTGCATTCCAGGCAAGAAGTATGTGATTCATGGGTTCAAGCTGTCACATGGTCACTCCCAGCTGCATGGTAGAAGGGGGAAATCAAATAATTGTATTTTTACTATGTTTGTGTCTGAGCATATGTACACACACATAAAAGTGAGATGAGCACCTTCTAAAGAGTCTAGTCATACCACGATCCTTTTTCTTTTGTCCATACTGTTGGATATTGAGCACTTGCATGCGTTTCTGCATGTTTCAGGCTAACCGGGTTGGGGATTTGAACTGCAGTCATCATGTGAGATCTAGCTTTTCTTGAGCTGTACATTACCACTACTACACCATGGAGCTGGTCTCAGTGCTTTTTTTTTCTTTAACACTGCCTGCGAAGGAGTTATTATCTCTTTGATTAGAATGGAAACCTTATAGATCCCTGATAGTGTCCAGCACATATGAGTACAAAAGATAATTTTTGAATTAATTAGCAGTAACTATTTGAAATTCTCCAAGCACTTCAACCAGAACGAACAAACAAAACAGGGTAAAGTAAGGCTGGGGATAAGGCAAGAAAATTGGAGGTTATTCTGTGGATGGAGACTTGAAAGTCAGAGTGGTAAGATAATAGATTCATTTTTTGTTTGTTTGAAATTTTCTTTTGATGAAGAGACTCCTGATTTTGGTAATGCTGGGCTAGGTAATTCAGACCAATCTACCCACTGAGCATAACTTTAATGCTGGGCTAGGTAATTCAGACCAATCTACCCACGGAGCATAACTTTAAAAGCTGAATTAAATTTGAAAACATCAGAGACCTAACAAGAGAGGAATTACTAGGACCAAGTTCTGAGAGTGATCCAGAGGGGATACTAGTATTCAGCGCCCGTTTTTTTATAAGGGCATCTGCTAATGTGGAGGAAGTGGCTAAAAGGTTGAGCTGTAATTTCAGTGCTTTGCGGATTGGAGGCAAAAGTCAGAGTCTAAGGACTTACCAACGCTCGAGACTTGATAAACCATCTGTTTTGACTTCGGCTCCATTTGAATAAAGGCAAACTAGAAATAAACCAGCCTTCAGAGAGACCACAGTTATCTAGTCAGCCCAGAAAATCTCAAACCCTGAACTTAGACTAAGGTAATTAAAAATATATATTAATTATTATTATTATTATTATTATTATTATTCACTTTGACCAGAGAGAGAGCAAAAGCAAGCTGCCAGGTCCAGAACCCGATCCACAGTTGGCCATGTGGGAGTCCAGTGCCTTAACCACTATGCCACCTGCTGGACCCATGACTAAGATAATTTTTAAGTGCTAGGTTCCCCTAGAGACCTTTCAAAATAAGTAGAATACCCTCCCAGAGAATATTATATTAAGCCTCAAGTGTTTGCAAAGAATTTTTCAAAACAATGTTTAGCATATAATAAAAATTACTAGACACATGTGGAGCTAGGACTCTATAAGCAAGAGCCAGCAGAAATCAAAGACCAGATCAGTCTCAAAGGAACTGAAAATACTTACTGAATTTTTCTTTGATGTTATCTTATTGTTTTGATGCCATAAAATTTGATAAATATAATTACAACAATGAAAGTAAATTATATAAATTTAAATGTAAATGATATATATATCATTGTTTTAATAAAAAAAAACCAAAACAAAACCTAAAACAAAGCTAGAAAGAAATAGACCATTATCGTGTTGGTGGTCTCTCAAGGTAGCAAACTATGGTGTTTGTTTCAGCTTTTTCATTTCTGCATTTTCCAATTTTTTTTTTAGAGATTTTTGCTATAGGGTGCGTGCACTCGCCAGAGAGACAGAAAGAGATGGGGGTGGGGGTGGGGGTGGAGGTAACCATGCCCACTAGCCCTTCTCAATTCTCCTATTGAAATTTTGGGCACACACACGTAACTGGTGTGAATTTTAAGCCACCAGGTTCAAGACCAGAACTGTGGTCAACTATGTGGGAGTCCAGTGATGTAACTATTATGTAATTTGCTTGTCCCCCAAATTTTCTTTAATGACAATTTATACTGGAAGAAATACTTAGTAAATATTTAGTAAAAGACAAAGTGATAAGTGGGTTTAACCCAGAGCAAGGCTAGATTCACAGGCAGCAGTTTCTACCCAGGGTCTTGTGCTCAGAAGGGCTCCATGTTTGGTTCAATGCTCTGTTGATGTCTTTAATTCTTACTTTTTAAACAAGAAACCCCACATTTTCCTTTTGCACTTGGCCTTACAAAGTATGTGGCCATTCCTGACCCAGAGGCAGTCAAATTCTGATCTGTTGACCACTTTGGTCAATAGCTTATGGACTTAATCTAGTTTCTCTACTTCCCACTGAAAGGCATCTAGTGTCAAACAGGAGGTGTGGCCAAACAGGTGCAGGAATACTGGGGTGCAGTGTACAAAGCCCTGGATTAGGAGTCCTAGACCTGATTCTGCTTCTCTCCCTAGCTATTGTATGACTCTCTGCAGTCCATTTCTTTCAGTGCTAAAGCCATTGGAACCACACCTGTGAACAGAGCAGCTAGCATACCAGGGTTAGAATCAAGCAGCTACCTGTTGCCCACTCTGTACAAGATACCAGTTGCAGGATCAGCAGTTAGCGTAATGGCTATGTCGCTGAACTCCCATGTAGCCAACCGCAGTTCGAGTCCCAGACCCAGTGGCTTAAACTCACACCAGGCATGTGTGCGTGCATGCCCAAGATCCCAAGAGGAGAAAGGAGGAGGGATTGCGGCATGGCCATCCCTCCTAGGGGGTGATTTCTCGCTTTCTGTCTCTCTGTCTTTCTGGCAAGTGCACGCGCCCTATAGCAAAACCTCTCAAAAAAAAAAAAGAAGATACCAGTTGCTTTGAGATTCACTACAATTATGGTTCCAGTCTTGCACCTAGATTTGCTAATAGTCTTTCAGGGTGTTTCTTCTTGGCTTCCAGACTTAATGACTTACCTGAAAACCAAGTTCTATCTGAAATGATTGGAACCTCTTTTTGTTTTTTGGAGAGATTTCTCTTACAGGGCATGAGGGAGAGACAGAGACAGACAGACAGATAGAAAGCAAGAAATCACACCCCAGGGGAGATGACTACGCCACAGTCCCTTTTCTTCTGTTCTCCTCTAGGGAATTTGGGCACCCACACATCTGGCCTGTTTTAAACCACTGTGTCTGGGATTCCCACCGCCCTAGACTATATGGGAGTCCAGTGACCTAACCACTACGCCACCAGCTGGTTCCAATGATTGGAAACTCCTTAACTGTCCTATCTTACAAGGGCTGGCTTCCCAGTGCACCAGTAATGTGCTGCTCAAGAGAAGGTGGATCTGAGACTTGGATCCCCCAAGATATCCCTGTTAGATTGAAACATGCAGGGCACACAGAAGTGCCCAAGAGACAATGGGCTAGGGGACTGGAGGAAGGGGAACGGGCAAAAGCAGGCTCTGGACGACTTCCTCCCTCTCTCTCCATATGCACATGCTCCATCAGGAATAAACAAAAACACAGACTCATTTAAAAAAAAAAATCCCTTACAAAGTAATCACAGTGACCTTCCAGTTGTGCCATTGAGGCAAACTGTGCAGCTAATAATCCCTGCCATGCGTTGCCTGTGTACCGTATGCCAGCCTCCGAGGTAAGCTTTTCACTTAAGTTCCCATGTACTCCTTGGAAATGCTTTGGTAGTAAGTACCCTTCTCCCTATGCTTCAGATAAGGAAACTGAGGTGTGGAGGTTGTGAAAAGTGCAGTTATTCCAAAAGTACATGCTCTTGATGGTTTCTCTAAGACCAACGCCAGTAACACCGAGCCGCTGTTGTGGCCCCTTTAGCTCAGAATAACCCACGATATCTACACTTTCCCAGTCCCAAGGTCATACAGGAGGTGGTGGGAAGGATGCTAATGGAGAATTTTTGCATGGGCTGGGGAGCAGAGCTGCAAACGCAGTCCAACTGAGTACCATACAGTTGGGGAAAATATACTCGAACAGCCCCGGAGACCACGGACTTGTCCTGAGTCCCAACACAAGACAACCCCCACCTCCGCCCCATTTGCCAGCCTCAGTCCCCACATATCCTCTTCGGATAGGAGAAACTGCTAGAACCCGGAGGAGTGGCTGCCACGTTAGGCGCGAGGCACACGCCATACCCTTCCGCAGCTTCCCACCTCTTTGAGACGCACGTGTTTAAAGAGTCCCGGTTCTCCCCACCCGCCCCAGCTCCGCGCGCACGCCCTCCCTTCTGCACCGCTGGGCTCAAGTTTCCTGCGAGAAGCTGGTGCGCACGACTGCAGTGGCGGCGCCGGTCCGCCGCCCACCTTCCCCCGGCCCCCGCCGCCGCAGTCTCCGCCCGCCGCGGAGGGCGTGATCCACGGAGCAGGAGCCGAGGGGGGGGCGCCCGGAGG